CCCATCAGAATAAGCCAGAGTCCATACATCCTCATCCAAGCTACACCAGTAGAACATGCAAACGTGTCAATCAGCCAAAATGCGTATGCAGCAATGCACGTGACCGTTGCGTTGAAACCGAGAAAAAACATGCCGCTGTCAATATCATACTGTGGATATTTTCGACGATAAATGAAGATAACTATAATAATAATTAAAAGAGCTGCCCAGATGAGGTCAAACGTCAACCACGAGATCCACGGGTTGTCGAAACTGGAGCCAATCACATGGGCTATGACAGGATAGAGTCCAAAGGTAGACATTAAAACACCACTGACGAGGTGATAATGTGCTTTTGTACTGAATGGCGGGAACTTCATTGTCGTTATCAGACGAATGATCACAATAGCTTGCATGAGATTAAGAAGAGCACCGGCAGTTTTGTCAAAACCATTCCATAAAAACGCCGTGTTTCCAATGGACGCTAGTCCGTACCCTAACAGTAAACTAAATATGTAGCGTGTCCCAGCTGCAACACTGTCGAATTTCCACAGTCCAAAAAGTCCCATTAAAGCCGTCATAATTCCAAACACTGCCGCCCCTGGCTCAGCGATAGGGCCAGCGTTTCCAAACTGTTTCCATTCACAATGTCCGTCAATAGGCTTAGTAGCCGTAAAATTGTAAAACGTAACGTTAGCAGCAAACATAGTCATTATTCCTTTCTTTCCAGACATCAAATAACTATCTGTTTACTGCGTTACAATGAAATAAAACGAAAAGAAGTCATGTCTTACTGGTAGTACAAAAGTTCCTGTCTAAACAAATTGATAGTTTTAAGGATTACGAACAGATATGAAACTGCTTTTGTAAATAGGTTTGTACGACAAAAATTACAGTGGTATAACATCCAGATATCTTCGTAGGAGATTATAGCTTTGCAAAGCATTTGCCATGCTCAATCGTTGTTTTTAAAAATGCATTGGTAATGCAAATCTTCAATCACACTTTTGAATAACCGAGATGATGAATGATATTTCAAAGAATATTTGTGTAATACGTTGAAGCTGTACTCATTGATCCATGCAAAATTGCAGTTAGACTTTTGATTACACAGCCGAATTCTTCTTTAAACTGAGCTCATGTTTTGTGTTCACAAGTTCAAGAATCAGAATCAGGTCGCAACATTTTTTACTGTTGATTTAATCTTGTACATTTAATGCTCTCTTAAAATAGGATGTAAGTTCTAAAAGCTGAATTTGATGAACATATTTCTCAAAATCTTAAAATTTGTCATTTTTAGTGCTATTTGTATTTTAATTATTGCTTAGAACCTAATATAAAATCTTATTAAAATAGTCATTGCAAAAGAGTGATTTTTTAATTGTTTGAATGTGTTCTAAAGTGTATCAGCCTGCTTTGACCAATGTGTTTTCATACAGCAAAAGAACAATATCTGTCTCACTTCAAGATTTTGTCTTTGTGAACACAGATCCTTAAATATAAAAAAGGAAGAAAAAACTATTTAGTTTAGTCGTCAAATTGTTGGGATTTAATTAATGATCTGTGTTTGTATGCCATTGTTTTTTTTTCGAATTTAAAAGTTGATTATAATATTGTCATAACATATCGAATACTGACAAAGAGTGGTTCATAATCTGCATAAATTAAAATAATTTTTGAAGAAAGTCGATATGTGGACCAACGCTAAGCAGGCAAGACATAATATGCATATTTGATTGATTTTACTGAATTTATTATAATAATGATATAAAGCAAGAATATTTATTTTTAACAAGAAGAACAAAAACAGAGAAAAAATATAGGCATATTTCTAAAGCAAGTAGCACACGGCAGTGGTATCTCAAAGTGTTCAATGCTGTCACTCGTTTTCAAACAGGTTTTTAAGTGTATAAAGCTTTATAAGTTCTGCATTTAATTTTTAAGAATAATTATTTGAATTTGATAAATAATACTTCATTGACGCAAAATACGCCCTTCACAGAAGCTTTTGACAGAGATGTTGGCATTATAGATATGCATATAGGAGATATGATCTTGGCAATATCCAAAAAAATATCTGGATAATTTATCATCTCTAGTGACATTGACCTTGCAAATACTGATCTAAATTACATGTGTCACACTTGTAGTCATGATAGTTATCATTTTTGTTACAATCCATTAATAAATGATGATTAAATGGTCCCCGTCCATAAATTTTGACCTCCATTTGTGACATTGACTTTGGTAGCAGGGACCTGGATTATGTGCGCAATAGGCCTCATAATGGTGAATATTTTTGCCAAGTTATATTAAAATCCCAGGTTAAATGTAGAAGTTTGGCTCTGAACAAGCATTTTTCAATGACCTCTAAGTGTGACCTAAACCTTCAACCTAGAGACCTGGTTCATAGTGATGAACATTTCTGTGAAGTTTCATTAGAACCCCACCATGAGTGGAGGAGATATGCTCTGGACAATATTTTTCTATCATCTTTAGTGACCTTGACCTTGCATATATTAACCTGAATAACGTGTTTCAAACAAGTAGTTATGATAATGACCATTTGTGTTTCAATCCCTCAATAAATGACAACTAAATGATCTGAATACACATGTTCATATTTTATCTGAACTTTGACCCCCATGTGTGACATTGACTGCAGGGACCTAAATCTTGCACGCGACACTCCGCCTTACAATGGTGAACATTTGTGCCAAGTTATATTGAAATTTCTTTATGCATGTAGAAGTTTTGCTCCGGACAAGTGCTTTTCAATAACCTCTACGTTTGACCTTGTCCTTTTGTCTAGACATATGACACTGCTTCTTAAAGTAGTGAACATTTGTATGAAGTTTCATTAGAATCCCTCCATTTGTGTAGGAGATATGCTCTGGACAAATATCTATATTTTATCATCTTTAATGACCTTGACTATCATCTTTAGTGACATTGACCTTGCATATATTAACCTAAATCACATGTTTCACACCTGTAGTCATGATAACTTGTCAAACGCGTCAATATATAGCTATTTGTCCGCATAATCAATCATTCTACCGTAAATACTACACACTCATGTGAATTGAATCATCCAAGCACGCGCCGTCGGTCGTTGCCCGTTATTTTATATGCATGGCGCTTGGCTCTTTGAAAAAAGAATGACTTCAATGATAGTCTCTAAAATTCATTATCAAAAATATTATTGTCCAATGACACCGCACGTTAAAAGCTTTACGTTTTTTTAAATATGAAAGAACAACAAGCAACGAAAGAGGTATTACCAACTCAGGCGTATACTTTAATGCAAACATAATTTACAATAAAAATCTGCAGAATCAGGCTTGGGGTTTAAGTGTGTCCTCCTGATTCTGTAGATAGGTTGTATAACCCTATATTGTGGTATAACATCTACACAGGAGACTTCAGCTTTACGAAGCATTTGTCATGTCCGATCGTTGTAAAAATTCATTGATAATGCAAAGCTTCAATGACACTTTTGAATAATCGAATTGAATGATATTTGAAAGAATATTAATTTTGTGTAATATATTGAAGTCGTGCCCAGTCATCCATTCCAAATCGCAGTTGACCCTGATTCCTTTCAAGAACGCAACGAATCTAAAAAAATACAGCTTTGTGTATAGGTGCACATGTACATGTAATATTGAAACAAAGAAGAATAAAATCCTTAAATTATCAATTTTAAACACTTTATGTACATACTTACAGTCAGTTGTTATAATAAGGTCTAATGGAAGGTTAAAAGAAGGAGGGACAGCATTTGTTACTCAAAAAGATATGCATTTGATGCTTTGACACAACTCTTTCTTTATATGTTATTGCTTACATGTATTTGAGATTATTTTACTGTACATTATAGTTTTCTTTCTACTAAATTTTGAAATTCATTCAAGTACCAATGTTTGTAGGATTCAAATATATTAGAAAGATTCTAGAAAAAATAAATGTTACATAATGTATATTTATAGATATGGCGAGACTGTTAATGTATTTACAGATACAGTTGCAGTATTTAATTATTAAAGGGATGCAACTTACATTTAGATTTATAATTGATAATGCATGTTATGATTAATATATAGGTTATAAGTTTAAACCAAGAATTAGCTAGCTAATAATTGTATTTATTGGAATATTGTAAAGGGTGACTTACCGTGACTGTTGTGATTATATGTCTAACTTTGGGACAACTTTACTTACTGTATTTTTCAAAATATGTTTTCTGAACTTGTGAGATATGACAGGTATTACTTAGCCAGAATTGACATTGTTTATTGTGGAATTCCAACGGTAGTTGCATGGTAATGTAATGTCAGCGTTGTTTGCAAATGCATGTGTGGATATAATTCATATTACCAATGGTAGAAACATTGTGATTGATAAGTATGAAGAACTATGTCATACTATTTCTATTTTTTCTTATGTCAGAGTAACGCAAATGAGTTTAGTACCTTAACAAGTGAATTATGTCTTCTGTATGATAAGATATCATCATTCAAAATATTGCAGGACACCAGACATGTAAGCAATATACATTAGATACAAATACAGTGAATTCACTTTTTTGTCATAAAATTTCGTGCTTTTATCATATTAAGTTCATATTTTTCTTGGATTCAATAATTTGTCAATTGTCCAGTTTTTTTGGTATGTTTCAAAAACAAAATAATCAATAAATAGATAATGCAAATACTGTACTAAAAATAATTTGACAGCAGACTAAATGAATTATTGTTTGATATTAAATTTATAAATTAAATTATCCACGAAGACCACAAAAAAGTTAGTGGCCAACAAATGATACTGATTTTTCAATATTTCTTATCTTCATCAAGCATTTGTATCAGCTGTGGTAAATTGTATACCTGAGTTTACTTAATATAAAGACACTTAATTGTTGTAGACCTTTGCGTGTTTGCTTTCGTGGGTGTAGTTTTATATCTTCATTTTCCAAGAGTTTATTTATTATATTTTATAGCAATAAAAACAACAACAAATAATTCTTTTCATTTTTATTTTTAACTGATTGTTAAATTAAAAGGTAGCATCTGATTGAAAAAAAAAAAGACTTGCAAGAAAGTTATCATTTTATATTTGTTTCCTTCTCATCTCTCCTTTCTTGCTGACGTTCGTTCTTGTCATTTTTGTATGTCAATCTGTAATCAAAAATAATGAATATGATAGCACTTACAAGATATGCAAGCATTTAGATTTTCACTTAAGATAGAAGAAACAGTATGAAAGCTTGAGCATAAAGTTACATATACATGTATAAGTATATGTGCATATACAAATCAAGTAACATAATTATGTATCCAAGTTTTTTTTCAAATTTCAAAGCACTTACAAACAGGCTTACAGTTTCCAACCTGAGTATCGCCTAAACATTCGGAATATCTTAATGATTACTCAAATATCCTTCTCTGAAGCATAACGAAAAGTATGAAAAGTGTCGAAAAGGCGAATTTGGTTTTTCTTTATTATTGCTACATATTGCTACATTAAATTTTGAGTTGAAAAAAAACAATTAGTACATGAATTTAATTTTTATATTTAACAGACATAAACAACAATAGATAATGAAACTTTAAAGACAAATATGGTTTTATGCTTAATATTATAAATGCCATAAGATTTTCTATGATCAAACTAGTTATTACGTAACTAGTTAAGCAGTTATCACTTATCTATAAATCTATAAATAGCATTGTTTTGCTCCAGTGCATTAATACACAGTCACACTTTAGTCATTTCAGACATTAGGCCTATTTATAGATAAGTGATAACTGGTTAACTAGATACGTACATAAATAATCACTTAAATAACTAGTTAGTTATGTAGTTTACTAGTTATATAACTAGTTAATAACTTACCACTTATCCAAAATATCGCTAACTGGTGACTGGTTAACTAGTTACGTAACAAGTTAATCACTTAATTTACTAGTTAATTATGTGTTTAACTAGCTACGTAACAAGGTAACCACTTAATATTAAGCTGTTAAAATAATAAAAGGATGGCAGTTGTAGGCATTAACATGCATTTATTTCCCGTTATGATCTTTAATTTATTGAAAAAATTAACTAGTTACGTAACTAAATAAGCAGATAACTATTTAACTAAGAAGTTAACTAGTTACGTAACTAGTTTACCTCTAAATAAACTAGTTAGTTACATGGGTATCTGGTGGCAGACATATGGCACCATACTTTGAGAAATAAAAACGAAATATTTCGAAAATGAAGGTTAGTCAAAATAATATGTTTCAATAATAAAAAACATTTTCAACGTTTTCGCTTACATAAAACGGTTATCTTTACAAAACGATTTCTTGCTGTTAGGTTATAAAACACAAACATATTTTAATGCCACGAAGAGAATGGCGATATATTGGTGAAAGAAAATAACAAAAATACAAAATAAGACCTAACTATTACTGAACTTGTTATATTAAAAAAGGTATGCCTTACTTTGTCCAAAGACTTCCACTTCACATAAATGTAAATATGTTTGTTTGTTCCTTAAAGCTACTCTGACATAACGAGCTTTCACTGGAACAAATGTGAAAGACACGAAAAGACCCATTTGACCTTCCTTATAGGCTACCATCTTCCAGTTACCAAGATTTTCTGTTGCTACGTAGATTACAACATTCTCTGCTCTTGTAGCTAAAATAAAATTTAAAAAATATTTTACCTTTACAGCAGCTCTAATAAATATATTTGTGAGTAATGGCTGAAAATTGTGTAAACAATTTTGTTAACAAAATGAGGAACACACATAATGTAACGGACTTATTTTACACATTAACCTGTATCTTTTAAAATTAGAACAAAAACTCTGTTTGTTCTGGGGTTCGCTAAAATTGATTACATCTAAGTGATTTCTTTATGTATTAAACTTAACACAGTGTTTTTTAAGAAAATATGGTATTTTGCAATCGTTGTAAAATAAGTAATTATGGAATGTAACTCAATGGGGCTAAGAATAGCTTGTTTCAAATTTCTTCCATGAAATTAAATAATTACCTTAAAATAAAAACATATATATTGTAAAGTATAATTAAAGTAAATATACAGTAAAACGAAGAAAATTACATACTGCAGCAGTCCCTCCTGTTGGTTATGTTAACTTGACTTATGTTATATACATCCTGAAGATCGACTTCCCACCAGGGATTCATATTGTTGTCAGTTTCAAAACAATGGTTGTTATATATGTTATCATCGGCATTACCATCATTCCCTTTGTTAGCAGTGTATTGATTTTCATAATCTTTTGAATAATTACTTGACTGGTAGGCAGGTTTTCCAAGGGCAACATTGACGAGAGCTGAAGCAAAAATGCTTTTTAAACAATCACTAACCTTTACATTATTAACATTTATGAAAGAATATCTTTTGTGCATATCTTTTTCCTATAAACTTAAAAAATGCATTTTACAGTTTTAATAGTAAGTAGTGTTTTCACTATGTGTTGCTAGCAATTTGCCAGTATTAATCACCAAAATATTCATAACAATTAAGATCAATTCAGAAAAAAGTCTACAACATACTTTATGAAATGAGCATATTCCTTTTTTCGCGAAAGTTACAAATAAGGAGGCTTCTTCTAGTAAATTTGAATGTTTTCAGAAAACATTATTATACAACATGTAAATGAAACTTTGCAAAATGACAAAATAGTACAAAACGCTTAAATGATCGGACATATATGCCAAATTCTCAACATTCCATTTAGTTTCCTGAAAGTTGTTCAAAGGCAGTGCAAACTGTCTATAATTACAACATCTATTTAATTGATGTACAAAAGACATACTAAAAATTTCAAGATGTGTGAGTGAAAAAATAAAGAAGCAAACAGTCAGCTCATTTACTTCTTAATTTTATTTTTTATAATTGATTAACATTTAATAAGCAGATTTTTTTTTACAAAATAATGGATTGGACATACGGTATATGGTTGTACATTGTTTTGTGTTAAGTAAAATGACATTGTGTGTTAGAAAGAAAATTCTTGTGTACATGGAATTAAATAAAGTACAAAAACAACAGTCAAGTAAGCGTATAAGGTATGCTTACTGTTTTCACAGTTTTTTCCTATAAATCCAGGCGCACATGTACACACGTAGTTAAAGTTTCCATTTGTACACACGCCGCCGTTCAAACATGGCTCAACAGCACACTCATTGACAGGCACACCTAAAAAAGAAAGATGACTTTAAGAAATAACGTTAATCCAGCAACGAAATAAATATTAAATATCCCAAAATTGTAGGTTAGTCAAAATAAATATCTTTCAATATTAAAGACATTTTCAACGTTTTCGCTTAAATAAAGCGGTTATCTTTACGAAATGACTTCTTGCTGTTAGGCTATAAAACACGAAAATATTTTAATGCCACAAAGAGAATGGATATATATTTGTGAAAGAAAATAACAAAAATACAAAATAAGACCTAACTATTACTGAACTTGATATACTGAAAAAGGTATGCCTTACTTTGTCCAAAGACTTCCACTTCACATAAATGTAAATATGTTTGTTTGTTCCTTAAAGCTACTCTGACATAACGAGCTTTCACTGGGTCAAATGTGAAAGACACGAAAAGACCCATTTGACCTTCCTTATAGGCTACCATCTTCCAGTTACCAAGATTTTCTGTTGCTACGTAGATTACCACATTCTCTGCTCTTGTAGCTAAAATAAAATTAAAAATTATATTTTACCTTTACAACAGCTCTAATAAATACATTTGTGAGTAATGGCTGAATATTGTGTAAATAATTTTGTAAACAAAATGAGGAACACACATAATGTAATGGACTTACCTTACATACTGACATATTGACCTGTATTTTTAAAATAAGAACAAAAACTCTGTTTGTTCTGGGGTTCGCTAAAATTGATTCTATCCAACTGATTTCTTTATGTATTTATATTAACAGTGTTTGCAAAGAAAACATGGTTTATTGCAATCGTTGTAAAATAAGTAATCATTCAATCAACTCAATGAGGCTAAGAAAAGCTTGTTTCAAATTTCTTCCATGAAATTTCATAATTACCTTAAAATAAAAACAAATAAAATGTTAAGTTTAATTAAAGTAAATATTCAGTAAAATGAAGAAAATTACATACTGCAGCAGTCCCTCCTATTGGTTATGTTAACTTGACTTATGTTATATTCATCCTGAAGATCGACTTCCCACCAGGGATTCATATTGTTATCAGTTTCAAAACAATGGTTGTTATATATGTTATCATCGGCATTACCATCATTCCCTTTGTCAGCAGTGTATTGATTTTCATAATCTTTTGAATAATTACTTGACTGGTAGGCAGGTTTTCCAAGGGCAACATTAACGAGAGCTGAAGCAAAAATGCTTTTTAAACAATCACTAACCTTTACATTATTAACATTTATGAAAGAATATCTTTTGTGCATATCTAATTCCTTTAAACTTTAAAAAATTGCATTTTACAGTTTAAATAGTATGAAGTCTTTTCACTATTTGTTAGTGTAGGAGATATAATATTTTCTTAGCTAGCAATTTGCCAGTATTAACTACCAAAATATTCATTATAATTAAGATCAATTCAGAAAAATGTCTACAACATACTTTATTAAATGAGCATATTCTTTTTCCACGAAAGTTTCAAAAGAAGACTTCTTCTAGTAAATTTGAATGTTTTCAAAAAACGTTATTATACAACATGTAAAAGTAGGTTTGCAAAATGACAAAAAAGTACAAATCACTTTAATGATCGGACATATATGCCAAATTCACAACATTCCATTTAGTTTCCTGAAAGTTGTTCAAAGGCAGTGCAAACTGTCTATAATTACAACATCTATTTAATTGATGTACAAAAGACATACTAAAAATTTCAAGATGTGTGAGTGAAAAAATAAAGAAGCAAACAGTCAGCTCATTTACTTCTTTTTAATTTTATTTTTTTATAATTGATTAACATTTAATAAGCAGATTTTTTTTTAAAAAATAATGGATTGGACATACGGTATATGGTTGTTACATTGTTTTGTTTAAAGTAAAATGACATTGTGTGTTAGAAAGAAAATTCTTGTGTACATGGAATTAAATAAGGTAAAAAAAGTCAATTAGCGTATAAGGTATGCTTACTGTTTTTCACAGTTTTTTCCTTAAATCCAGGCGCACATGTACACACGTAGTTAATGTTTCCATTTGTACACACGCCGCCGTTCAAACATGGCTCAACAGCACACTCATTGACAGGCACACCTAAAAAAGAAAGATGACTTTAAGTAATAACGTTAATCCAACAACAAAAAAATATAAATTTGATCACTCTGAGAAATAAATATTAAATATCCCAAAAATGTAGGTTAGTCAAAATAAATATGTTTCAATAATAAAAACATTTTCAACGTTTTCGCTTACATAAAACGGTTATCTTTACAAAATGATTTCTTGCTGTTAGGTTATAAAACACAAACATATTTTAATGCCACGAAGAGAATGGCGATATATTGGTGAAAGAAAATAACAAAAATACAAAATAAGACCTAACCTAATTCTGAACTTGTTCTATGATTCAAAAAAGGTATGCCTTACTTTGTCCAAAGACTTCACTTCACATA